ATTCTAGCATCTTACCTGGGGCTCTCTCCTTGGGGTTCCCAGAGATGAGAGACCACCGGTCACCGAGACTGTGTTCTTGGGCAGTGATCCTGGCTCATTTGTTTCAGGGGAATTTGAACTCTTTTCAGGAACATGATGATGGCAAGAGCTGACAGTTTCTCCAGGCCTCTCTCATACCCACTTAACGCTCCCCAGAGCTGTTTCCTGCCTTTCCACGCATTTGTCAGGATTAAGGAATATTTGCTGTTGTTTTCTTGTGCGACAATTAATACTTTGGGGCCAGTGCTGTTGTTGGAGCTAAGTTTTCTCCTTCAGTCTCATTTTCAAGAGTAATTTCTCTTTTCACCCCATACGGAATAGCACTCCCTCTCCCCCTTTATCCTGTTTTTATAAAAATACAGCCAGGGGCCCCTCTTGGAGGGACCATTTCAGATGGCCATGAATTTTTAAAAAGGGAATGTATGAATTTGAAAATAAAAATAAAAATAAAAAGTCAGCTCTCAGGTCAGAGGCTCTAGGTGGCGTGTTCTCTGCAGTTCCAGTGAGCAGCTGGTGTCGGCCAGTTCTTTCATGTAAACAGCAATTTTCTGAGCTGGAATGGTGCTGGGGTTTTCTTTGTGGAGCCAAGAGGTTTGTGGAGAGAGCAGTGCTGTTTAGTTAAATTACGGGTCTAGATGCAAAACTGCAGTGTTTAGTTGTGAGTCTGAACACTCCCCACTTCCCTAGGTCTCACACACGCGCGCATGTGCGCACGCGCGCGCGCGCACACACACACACACACACACGTTCGTACGCACATACATGTGTGCACGCACACACCACTTCCCGGAGTGCTGCCCTACACCACAGGAGGGCATCTGTTGAGGGCAGGCTGTTCCCCCAGAGGTGCAGGGCCCTTGGTGGGTATCTCGTGTCCCTAAGAGTGGGAAGCATTTGCATACTGAAGTGTTTTCTGCATCCCGTCCACCAAGAACTCCAAGATCAGTTTCCTAATGGGTTTGGGCTGTGCTCTCCCTCTGGAACAGATGGGCCGCTCTTTCCACCCAGGTGCACCCCAGGGGCCACGCAGGCCGGCTGTGCAGTGGCTGGCTTCCCCCCATCTTGTGTGCTTAAGTGCCGCATCCGTGTGAAGGCTGTGGGTTAGGAAACAGTTACCCGGCGGGCTGACACAGGAAGACGACACAGGTGGCTCTCTGCCTGCATTGTGGGTGGAGAGGATTTTTTTTTTTTTTTTTTTTTTTTTTTTTTTTTTTTAATAACGCAAGGACTGTAGAGTCAGGGAGCCATGGGTAACTTGTCCTGCTCACTGTGTCCAAGATCAGAAGAGGGTTAAAGTTCTGGGGATTCTAGATAATTCCTGGGGCAAATAGAAGCCAAGACTCAAGTATTGGGATTAGAGTTACCCCCCAAATCTCTCTCCCCCCTTTTCCTCCCCCCCCTCTGTCTCTCTCTCTCTCTCTGTCTCTCTCTCTGTCTCTCTTTCTCTCTCTCTCTCTCTCTCTCTCTCTCTCTCTCTCTCTCTCTCTCTCTCTCTCACACACACACACACACACACACACACACACACGTTCACAGAAAATTGGCTAATATTGATGAGAATTTGAGGACCTCCATTTTGTCCCCTGAGAACCTGGACACAACATCCCCGCCTTGTCCCCTTCCTGCCCAGTCCTGGAGATGCAGGGGGGATGGAGGGAAAATGTGTGATTCTAGAGTCCTTGCCTGCTTCCCGAGCCCCTCTCCAGGCTGCAGATCCTCAAACAGCGCTCAGTCCATTTAGCTGTGGTGCCACCAGGGCTCGCCGAGCCAGTCCCTCCCCTCCCGCCCTGTGCGCCGCCCCGGGTGGGAGAGGCCACACGCAGAGTCCCGCCGCCCCCAGCTCTGCTCCGCTCTCCTGCAGCCCAGACATCGGTGAGCGGCTAACCAAGTGTGGCACATCTTCCCACTGGCCTCTTCACGTTCTGAAGGCTTTGATTAAACCAGTTTCCTTTCAGCGTTTGCTGCAGAGTGGGACCCGTCACCATAGCTGAGCTGGTTCCCGGAGAGGATGTTTTAGTAACTTGAATATTTTGTCTCATTGGCTGGGACCTGGGATTTCTCATCCTTCTTTGAAAAGAAAAAAAAAAGTGTTTTAAATATTTTTATTTTTAGGACTGCGTAGATTTATAGCTGGGTGTCTGCCCCAGTGTTTAGGGCTCCGAGGCCTCGCAGGTTTACGGCTGTGAGGCAACAGAGGAGGGTGCAAAAGGGGACCTTTCCATTGAACCGGTGACTGGGGAATGAGCATTCTGTTGACTTAGGTTATCTGGAATGAAGACACGCTGACTGTGTGATGTTCTGGGTCCATGCGCACATTTGGAATATAAACAAGGCCTTCTCTCTGCCCACCTGCTTTAACCATGCATAAGTGAGACCATGGGGTTCCTTTTGCAGAATGCCTCTCTAGAGTTTCTTTAAGCCGAACACTCCGCTTGTGCATGCTCTTAAATCACATTAGTATTTCTTTGTAGATATTTAGTTATGAATGAAAAATCTAAAATGAAGCTATTGGGAGTCTTAGCTCATCTGAAATCGTATAGAGATGCATGAGGGTGTTTTGAAATGACAGTGCGAGAGGGGGCAGTGAGTTTATCAAGTTTTCTGGATAAGGTGACTTTCTGATGCACATTTATTCTGAGCTTTGAAGGAAGCATTTAGCAACTGAGTTAGAATCAGTTACAGTGACCGTTTATTTAGGATCTACCTGGTATCCCACTAGGCAGTTGGACATGTTAATTTATTCCTAATAGGAACCTTGTGTGGTAGTCTGATTATTTTATCTGCATTTGATAGTGGATTAAATTCCATCTTATATTAGAATGTAAGGTCCAGCTCCTAGCAATTAATATATCTGCTGAATGAATACATTAGGAGAGTTAGGTTAGTAAAATCTGGCGATTAGTGAGTACAGAGAGAGATTTGAATCTGAAGGGGCCTGCTGGAGTTTGACCACAAAGGTGACTGTGATCCACCAGAGACTTAAGGGATGGATGAGAAGGGAGATGGACAGTAAGGCACCACTTAACAAGAGGTTCTTGGGACTTGGTGGTGTGGGAACCCGGGGGATCTTCCTAGACCACATGTGTCAACACAAGGCCCGCGGGCCAAATCCGTCCCGCCAGGCCTTGCAATGTGGCCCGCACCGCGCTGTCATCACTGCACTCCGCTGCGTTTCCATCACAATGACAGTTTATGACTGTTCAGTAAACCATTCGGCCCGCGATTTAGGCTGGATTTTAGATTTTGGCCCCTTCTCTGATTGAGTTCGACACCCCTATCCTAGACAGTGCTCACATGCATGATCCCATCTTATGCCCCATTCATCTGAAGGAGACGAAAAACAGTAAATCACAGCTCTGGACACAAGTACAAGCCACTGCATGGCTCTCACAGCCGACAGGAAGTTGCTAGGGCAGTGTCCTCTTAAAATAGTGCAGGAAGTCCATTATTTTCCAAGGATGTTCCCGTTTGGGCTCAGTCAGCCGGCTGTGGTGGCACACGTCCCCTCTGGGAGCCACTAAGCTGAAGCGTGAGCTCCCTGCTACCTGGGAGTCGCCTCCATCGTGTAGACTCATGAGAGTTCAGAGTTGGGTGGGACCTGGAGCAGGACTTCACTGTGCAGAAGACAGAACCCACACCTCAGGGTGAGTCCTGTCCGGGGTCACACCCAGACTGAGGCCCGGAAGCAGGTGTCCAGGGCCTTTTTATGTCAGGTATTTACAGCATACGACCTGATGATTTGTACATGTATGTACTGTGCCTGGACTCCTCCCGAGTCAAGACCTTGTGCTTTTTATTACATGCAACTAAACCGGCAAGACCCTGTACCCACTGAGTCTTTAATTTTTTTTCATTTGACATTAGAAAGAAAAAACACACACAGCAGAAACTCGGGCTTCAAAGAATAAACTTTCTTTTCTTTTTTTTCTTCCTGGCTCCTTTTTACATGTTAAGATCGCTGGTCTCTGCTGCTCTGAGTAGTTTATGTCATTGAGCATCCTTTTTTCTGAGCTTTGGAACGGGTGGGATTCTGAAAAGTGGCCACATGCATTCGCTTTGGCTTCTACCAGGCATCTCTGGGCTCCATGTGCCTGGCTGGACCTGTCTGTGGCATTGCGTGGGTGCCGGGAGCAATCAGGAGGGAGCCAGGATTATTGATGCCTTCAGCACCAGGAAGAATGTAGTGAGTGCTGGGGAGGATGATGGCACAGTGTTAGCAGAATTCAGAGGAGGAAGAACACTTCTGCACGGGGCGACTACATAGGTGTTTAATTCTGGAGAGGGTCTTTGGATCTTGGAAGATGGTCGCAACTTGCCATGGGAGACTGAGGCTGGAGAGGGACTTAGGTGGACAGAGGTGTGGAGACCTGGGGATGAGTTGGGCTTGACTCAGTGTGTAGGGTGCATCAAGGGAAATCAAGGAAGTAAGGTGGACTGGGGACTGAGCTGGGAGAGTGTTTTTGTGTGTGAGGCCAGTGTCTGTCTTGTTGGCCGACATACACCACCACCCAGAACAGCTGAGTGCAGACAGTCCTCACATGTTTGAATTGCGTGTGATTTTCTTATTGGCAGGTTTTACGGGTTCTTTCCAGGCAGCAGATTTTTGGGTACGTCGTTCTGTTTCGTTCATGTCTCTTAGGTGTAAATGGCTTTGACTCCGGGACTTTTCTCTTTGTGCTGGTGCATCAGGATGAAGCTGTGCACTATGGCTAAGGGGGTCCTGAAAGCCACTCTGGGCCTATGGGAAACGTGAGCCTCTGGGTTGTGACCTGGAGGCCCACAATGTCCAGACTGACCGTCTCCAGCACCCCGAGGCATCTGCGGGGCCCACTCTTACACCTTGAACCTGTCTAAAATTGCCTTTCTAGAGAAATGCAGAGAGTGGGTTGTTGCACCGTCTTGGCGAGCATTGCTTCAGATAACCCGGTTAACACGTGTCCACCTCTTGTCATTTCTTGCAGATGGTCACAAGAACGAAGAAAATATTTGTAGGCGGGTTATCTGCGAACACGGTGGTGGAAGATGTAAAGCAATATTTCGAGCAGTTTGGCAAGGTAAGCGGTGTGTGAGGGTGCCCTAATGTGCCTAGAAGGGGCTGCAGTGGCCCCTGCCTTTGCCACAGCTATATCCTTCAAAAGCTGTGCCCTTGAACTTGGCCGTCAAGATTGAAGTGAAATTCGGCAGAAGCTGAGATGGAGGAGCCCAGCCTGCGGTTGGCACGGTGCCCACGTGCCTGCAGGAGCAGACAGAGTGGCCTTTGAGCGCGGTGATGCTGGCATTTGCTGGCCACTTGGGGCCGGGGCTGGGAGCTGGCAGTGGCGGAAGCTGGGAGGGATGCGGTCCTGAGTCACAGGGCAGGGGCTCCTGCAGAAGCTGCTGGAAGCCTGTGAGGCGGCTGGCTTCCTCTGTGCCTTTCTGAATAACGGGTGGAGAGAGGGGGGCCCCCTGGGGCCCTTTGCAGCTGAACCTTTCCCTGTCAAGTGCCCAAGGAAACCCAGGAAGGATGCTGGGCCTGTACCTGTCAGAATGTCTGGGAGGCAGCAGCAAAGTTACCCCCGGGGTTATGCTGCTGGAACTGGCTGAGAACAACACGAAATGCCCCAGATCAGTCAGGAAAAGGAGTGTGGGGGCGTGTGTGCCAGACAGACGGAGTCTGACAGACAGACAGGATGCGGAGCCATGGTGCTGTGTTTATGTAATTCAGCCTCTTCCTAGTTGGTGGGGGATCCGGTGCCTCAGAGAGGGGGCTCTTCCCAAGGATGACATGCTGCCTCAGGAAGCTGCCTCAGGGCCCCAGCAGGCCAGCTTGTGGGGGATTGACCCGGTTGGACCCTGTGTCGCAGGAGGCTGGCAGGCCAAGTGTCTGAGCTTTCTGTTTCCTGCATCTGTGAGTGGTTGTGGGCATTATCCTGGGAGCCAGGTGTGAGATGGCTCCTTCTGCACAGGTCTGTGTCCCCCCTTCCCCTGCAGCCCTTGCTGAGGGGCTGACATGGCAGGGCTGTGTCCGTGAGACAGCCCTGCTCCTGTTCTAAGCTTCCTCGCTCCACCCCTTCCCATCGCTGTCATGCTTGTCTTGGGTGGCACAAAGGTACTGTGCCCACTGTGCAGTCTGAAGGTTCTGTGCTTATTCATTTGCCCAAGGCAATGGGCAGCAGTGACCCTGTCCCCAGGTGTGTCCAGTCGTGAGCTGCTGTCTGGGAAGAGTGCCCTGACCTCTATTTAGCCTCTAAATGGAGATTTTTTTTTTTGTCTCCGGTCTTAATAAATTTCTTCATGGATAGGAGAACATGCAACAAAGAGAAACCAGCCTCCTCCAGCCCAGCCTTGCATTCACAATGGCACTTAGCTGCCCTTCCAGGTCGGTCACGGATGACGCCTTCCCTGCGGCAGTGTCTGCTGCGTCGGTCGGGGGCTGGTTCACTCTGGCTGATTCTGAAGAATAGCTGAGTGTGTTGGTGGTGGGTGATCCTGTGCATTATCATACTTCTCTTCCAGACAGATTGAGAGCACCAGGGGGGATGTGCTCATCGCCCAGCCCCAGCCTGCTTGGAAATAATTAAAAGAGACAAGTCCAGCTCGCATAATGGAAGGCTCTGGAGTGTGAGCCTCTTTGCTGCTACCGTTCCGCCTTTCAGACAGGCCAGGGTTAGTGTTTGCAAACATGAGGTGGGATTGCTTTTCGAGCCATAACCTGCCTTGGAATCTCATGGGCCTGTTTGTGGTGTCAGGGAAGTTGATGCTTCCCAGATGGGCCGTTAGCATATTCCAGACAGGCTTGTGCTTGCACATCTCCGCACATTCCCAGCTCTGGGTTTCTTTCTCTTTCTCTTTTCCTCTCTCTTCCTGTCTTCCTGTCGTTTTTTTCATTAACACTCACAGTTGTGACCCCATATGCCAGCAGTGGGAGGCTCTTCAAGCTTTGGCCAGGCCCAGGGAAGCAACCATTGCTGCCCGAGAACACTTGTCCCCTTGTCTGGGAGGCAGTCACACTCTTCGCTGGCCAGGCCCTCACCCGGTCTGAAGCCGTTCGGTTAATTTTGCAGTAACATTTGTGGATTCCAGCAGGATGGATAAACTTACAAAGTGTTTCATTAAATGACCAGGGAGGTGCCTGGCTGGCATGGCTCAGTGTTTGAGCGTTGACCTATGAACTAGGAGGTCTCAGTTCAATTTCCGATCAGGGCACATGCCTGGGTTGCAGGCTTGATCCCCAGTATGAGGTGTGTAGGAGGCAGCCGATCAATGGTTCTCTCTCATCATTGATGTTTCTAACACTCTCTCCCTTTCCCTTCATCTCTGAAGTCAATAAAAATATCTACACTAATAAAAAAGAAAGATGCAAATTGACTGTACCTTTGTGGTACCCACCAGCTAATCAGGAGCGAACACGCAAATCAATCCAACAAAGATGGTGGGTTAATTTGCATACAGAGGCAACAATGCCACTGCCCAGCTGCTCGGGCCTCTGGGTAGTGTGGGAAGGCGGAAAGGCGGCTCTAGGCCACAGCAAAAGCAGAAAGGTGGCCCCTGCCAGAGCAAAGGTGGTGCTGGCAGTCACAAATCTTGCACAAATCTTCCTGCATCAAGCCTCTAGTATTTTAAATAAAAAGGCTAGAGAGGCTTTTGAATGTATCGAAACTGTAACACTCTGTGTGCTCATGTTTTAGTAGCTTGTTTCATACATTTGTGGGTCTGTCTTCAGAATAGCTTATTCCTCCTTTGGCTGGTGGCTGGTGTCCCCTTGGGTAGGCCCATTGCCTCTCAGGATTCTGGTACAATTCAGTTGAATCCAAATGATTAAAGGCGAGAGACTCTGCTTGTGGGCCTTAGAGGCAAAGACTTGAAGGGAGGTAACAGGTTAAGTTGACAAATTGATCTACCCTTCAGCAGTTTGTATTCTGGGTGAAGTAAGTAGGATACACACACACACACACATACACACACCCCTGAAGTATACACAAACATGTTCCTGACTCTGTAAAGTTGTTTGGGGCTCTTTTCAGTTGGTTTATTGCAGATTAAGGAGTGTAGTTTTATTATTTAGTGAGTTCATACTCAGTGTTGGATACTGGGTCAAGCCATTGACTTATTTCACATCATTTAATTTTCCTCCGGGAGGCTGATGGAGGTACTGCCCAATTTGCAGATTGTTAAGTCTTTGAATCAAGGTCACAGCACCCTGAAGGATAGAGTGGCATGCAGACTCCCCCTCCAGGCTTGTCTGGTAACAGAACCTGAACTCTGGGCCCCATTCTCTGCTGATAAAGCCAGAGGATGTAGGGACGGGAGATGCAGGGGGAAGGGAAAGCCCCCTTGTGTGTCTTGGGCAGTGCTGGGCACCTGCACGTGCATTGCCTCACTGCACAGTGGGTTTTGGTATCATCAGCCCATCCGGAGAAGGTAGACAGTAAGGGTCAGAGAGGTTAAGTGACAGCTTGATCACCTAGGTAAGGCAGTATAACAGCCAGAACTCACACCCTCCCTCCTCTTTCTCTGAGTCTAGAACTTTCCATCCTTTTCCAGTTTCCATTCAGGGTTCGCTGTTCTCTTTTTAGGTTTCCCTCGCTGTCATTCCTCTCTTCTCTCCAGCATCCCTTCTTGCTCAAGGTGGCAGCTGCTTCAACTGTTTATTTCAGGTGGCAATCAAGATGGCTAAGACTGCTATCATGGGACTGAGCTAAGGGAGTTTAAATGTCATTACTGTAAGTGGAGTGGGTGTGGAATGACACACCGAGAGCTTTAAATAACTCAAACCCTTTTGTGTTTTCCTCCTACCTTTCTCCCAGAAGATTTACCCCCACCCCCACCCCAGATTAGGGATGTCTTTACTTGTTTATATTTCAGATGAGATCATGAAGTGTGGCCATTGGCCTAAGGTTTTGTCTAACTTGGATGGCCACCCCACCCACTGGGTGGCAGTTCTGATGTCATTGGATAGAAGTAAGGTAGTAGTTATTCCGAGCCCTGGTGCTGGGTCTGACCCCACTGTGATACCTGAACAAGCCGTTTCCTTCCTGGCCTCAGTTTCTCACTGAGGGAAGGGATTGAAAGAGTTGTCAGGGCCAGACAGAAAACATTTTTGGATCTGCAAAGCCTATAGTCTATGCCACAGCTACTCACTTCTGCTGTTGTGTGGAGAAACAGCCATAGCTAACAATTGGGTGTTGCTGTGTTTCAATAAAACTTTATTTACAAATACAGGTGGTGGGCTGCATTTGGCCTGCAGGCCATAGTTTGCCAGCCGGTGGACTAGAGTATTCTTAAGGTTGGTTTCAAGCTTGAAAATTTAATAAATTGGAGAGTGTTTGCACATACTTAGGTGGAAAGATAGATATCTAAAAACTGTAACCAAAACTGGGTATTATCAATAGGGTAATGAGCATGATATAATAAGCAAAACAGTCATAAGGATGGCTGAGTTCATTGCTGGGCTTCAGATGCAGGGACGCTGAGGATTCTCTATTTGGAAACAGCTGCTGTTTAGAAGTGGGAATCTTCATCCTCTGGGTAAGAGCCAGCACAATTGTATTTTCAACTCCCTATTACACATGTGAGATCTAACTTAACAAAGACCCAGAATTTGTGAAGTTCTGATTTTATTATGAAGATTCCTTGAGTTGATGTTTCTGAATTAGAGGGATGTGTGCTTTGTGCTTGGTTTTTTAATGTCTTTTAAAATTTGATTTCCAAGGCTGTCAGTCAAGGTAGGAAGAACATCTGTCACGTCATTGACAAAACTGATGTTGAGAAAGGTCAGTAAGTTGTCCAAGATCACATTTTTGCACAATCTAGCCCTCACCTCTTTCTGCTGTTCATTAAACCTTCCCTCCCACGTTAGCCTAAGCAGCCCCATGCTCAGAGGGAGCGGGTTTGGTTCATTTGTCAAGACCGTTGATATATGGTAATTTATTTTACTGCTTGAGGTTTCCTAGTGGACGTTATCTGAGCTCATGATTTGATACATCCAAGAATGATGTATACAGACCGTCCCAAAAAATGGCACGCAAACGATGCTCTAGATACGCGCACACAGGCCCTGCCGATCCACCGGCCT